GGGATTGGTAGCATGCTTCCATGGGTTTATTCTCAGGGATTGGAGTGAGGTATCATGGGATTTGTGGCATATGAGAGCTCTACCATTCAAGGGAGCATTCCAGATGCAAAGGCTGATGCCCATGCTTCCTGTGTCTAGTCCCTGAGGTGACCATTCTGGAGCCCCTGCGAGATGTGAAGCTCAGCGAAGGCCAAGACGCCCATTTCCAGTGCCGGCTGTCCAGGGCCTCAGGCCAGGAGGCCCGCTGGGCTTTGGGAGGGGTTCCTTTGCAGTCCAATGAGATGAACGACATCACTGTGGAGCAGGGCACGCTCTACCTGCTCACTCTGCATAAGGTGGGGTTCTGGGACCTGCCTCTGCCCTCACACAGCTGCTTCTGAGTCCATTAGGGAAGATCCTCCTCCAGGGCATTGGGCAGGGGAGGTGACAAACCCCGATCGTGGGGGATGGGGAAGGTGGATTGGCCCCTTTTGGTCAGGATGGGGTGCAAGGGCAAGCATCTTCCTCCTGCCTCCTCAGGTGACCCTGGAGGATACGGGAACCATCACTCTCCAAGTGGGCTCATGCTCCTCAGAAGCCCAGCTGAAGGTCACAGGTGGGCACCCCTATCCTACACCCCACCTGTGCCAGTGGACGTCTTTGTTTCCCAGCACTGCAGCTGTTCGAGGGGGACCAGGAGCCCAAGACTTCTAGCTGTGATTTTTGCGCTGGGGCTGTCAATTTTCCAGCCTGTGGTATCTCAGGCCAGAATGGATGCTGCCTCCTGGGAGAGCTAGAGTGTCTGACTAACATGGGCTTGGGCCCTGGGTGGAGATGGGACCAGCTCTGTGCTTTAGGTCCTTTTGCACATACGTGTATGTCCATGTTGATGTACATTTACTTACTCAACAGGCTCAGAGATGTATGTACAATCATATACCTATGGCACATATATGGATTTGGCCATGGTACATGTGGCCCCAGCATGCAGGCAGGACTTTAGGAACTTTCAATTTAGAGTGTAGCTCGTCCCCAGAATAAGTCCATCCTATGGAGCTTGGCTTTGAGCAGCAGCCTTTCCATGCTGCCTAGTCCTGGTGCTCAATGTGATTCATTGGCCCCTCCATCATCTACCCACTTACTGATTTATCCTCTGCCATGCATGCATCCATCCATTTATAGCCACCATTCGTCACCCACCCAAGCCCATTCTTCATCAATCTTCCATTCATCTATCATTCATCTTCCTCATCACACTACCCATTTATCTAGTTACTCATGATTTGTCTATCTATCTATCTATCTATCTATCTATCTATCTATCTATCTATCTATCTATCTATCTTCCATCTATCCATTCACCAATATACCACTTGTACATTCATTATCTACTTATCATCCAACCATTCATCCATCCACTTACCCACCACCCATCCATTCATCTACCCATCTATTCAAGCACCTGTTTGCTATCCAGCCATCTGTTCACCATTGGATGAGACCTCTGATCTCCTACCCTTCACGTCCAGGATTTCAGGACGGGTTACATATAGCTTTGCCCTTATGGACCCCTCAGTCTGCTGAGGGGAGCTAGATGTGGAGAATAGAGCATGTTCTGGAACTTTAGAGACGGTCAGGCATGGCCAGTTGTATGGCCTGTGGGGCTGAGCCAGGCTGCCAAGCGCCAATGCACAACTTAAAAGTTGATTGATGAAGAATTTCACCGTTGTCATGAGTAGGGGCAGGGCAGAAAGGGTCTGTGTTTACTAGGGGACAACATGGAGCTGCAGGCTGTGCCTCAGTCCTGCTGTAAGGCGAGATGTTCCCGTTCTGAGAGAGCTGGTTCATGTACAGCTTTGTTGTGGACAGGCTTGGGAGCTGGTGCTGGAGGAGGAGTGTCAGTGGGGAACGGTGTGGAAAGACTTCTAAAGTAGCACTTGGGGGTGATCCTCGGGGGTGCCTCGTTATGCTGGGCACTGATGTCTCTACAAATAGTTCTGACTTTCCTTAGCCCCATCCTGTGGTATAGAAGCAAATGCAACAGAAGCACCTGAACTTTGTCAATTGCCCCCAAGAAGGCATCTCATAGATGCTCAGAGAGAAACACAGGCTAGGGGTTAGCATCCTCCTTACCTGGCCCCAGGTAGCAAGTGTGAAAGAGGCCACTTGTCTTTTCCTGTGTGTCCTGGGGTATTGGAAAGTCAGCTATGAAAACATGAATGCCCCAGAGTTCTTGGGCTATCTATCTCCTGTGGTTCCCCTGAGCATCCACTCAAAAGATGGATGCAGGGGAACTAGGTGGAGCTCATCTGCATCCATGAGGCTCCTGAGCTTAGAGCTTGCTGTGAGGTGGAGGAGCAGTGTACCCAGCAGTTAAGGCCATGGAGTCCTAAGGGTGGCAGAATCTCAGTGGACATCTAGACAGACTGCCCCTGTCTGCTGCTATACCCTGAGGAATGGAAAGCCACTTCTGGGATTGAGCCCAACACTCTTGGGGCAACAGGTTCTGGGGTGCCTCTTCCTGCCCATACCCGGTTAGAGGAGGCATCCATTATCAAGAAGAGCCCCAAATGTGGAGTTTATCCATTGTTCCTGTTGAAAGAGATGCCGGATAGGTGTCATTGGCCTCCTGTGGATGAAGCTAGAAGTGCTCTGAAGGGGTGTGGCATGCTCAGTGGCTGACATGCTTTTCGTGGGCTCAGTGTGGATGGCCTCTGTGCTTTTCTCTTTGATTAGGGTATGCTAACTGTCTGGGGTGGATTTCTGGACCTCTGGTCCGAGCTATTCTGGTCTGAATAGTACCTGATCCCGGAAGATTCCAGGTGGCCCATGTCAATTTCAAGATTGTTCTAGTAAATTCACTTGGGACCCTAGTGGTAGGGAACAGCTGTTTCCCTTTGCATTCTGTACAACACGGGACACCTGATTAGAACACTGGGCTCCCCACACACCAAGCAGTCCTCCAGAAGACACCAACTGGATGCAATATAACTGGATTCAATTCTGACATTACCCAAAGTCAGCAGAGACTCATTGGTTATAGACTCAGTCCCACGAGACGCATCCCACCCCCCCCAACAAAGTCAGTTGCAAGCCTAACCTTGCTAACTAAGTGAGTGTGAATGGGACTCACACTACCCACCTGGGTTTGACCAGTTTGCTAGGACAGCTGAGTCATGAAACAGTTGCTGTCACTGGTTTGTCACACAGGACACCACCCAGCAACAAAGACTAGTGTGTGGGGCAGTCAACAGGTATCCCTCCCACTCTCCATATATCACTCTCCATCCCCTTGGCATCCAGGACCTTGAAATCCATCAGATTTGTTTACATTTATCTCCAGCCTTACTGCTCTCCCCGAGGCTGGTAGGTTGAGCTGGACATTTGAACCCTCTGGTCACTTGGTCTTCCCGATGACCACCCCCTTCCTGAAGCGGGCACCTCATTAGCATAGCCTCTGATGTGATCAAAAGGTGTGTGCTCTGCCTAAGAGCACTCGTGACACTCAGGAAGTTCTGTGCTAGGAACTGGGACAAGGACCCATTTGGCTATGGGATCACATTCCCACGCCAGTGCCCCTGAGTGCGGCCCCCTCCCCGCCGACCCCGGGGAGCCCCAGCCCAGACTTCCTTCTCGCCCTCTTGCACAGAGGCAGCACTGGGCCTGGTACGTGGCTTGCAGAACGTGGATGTCTTCGCGGGGGAGGTGGCCGCGTTCTCCTGTGAGGTGTCTCGCGCAGGTGGGCCGGAGGCCCGCTGGTGGTTGGATGGTACCCTGCTTCAGAACAGCCCTGAGAGTGCCATCACTGTACGAGAGGGGACTATTCACTCCCTCGTGCTCTCGGGCCTGGGGGTGGCCGACTCGGGCACCATCACCTTCCGCACAGGGCCCCTGGTCTCCACAGCCAAGTTATTGGTCAAAGGTATTGGCCAGTGGGGACCTCCCCAGGCCGGTGCTTCTGCCCTTGCTGTTCCCGCATGCTTCCTGCAGGGTCCTGGGGAACCGAGGAGTGTCCGGTACTGACCCCAAGGGCCATGGGTAATTCTCTATGCCTATCATATACCCAGGGCAGAGGAGGCCTTCCATTCACTTCCTGAGTGGGAGGTTAAGTCTCCTTGAACTGTTTAGTTGGAGACTGGCCTCCTGCACATTGGCTGTGTGGGATCTGCATACACTGACTCTTGTTAACCACCCTATTGGGTAGACATCCCAGCCAAAGGCTAGCTTTCTGAAGGGGGCCTTCCTGGGCTCCCGATGGAGAAGCCACAGCTTCCAGCTCTGGTTTGCTCCTGTGCACACCTGCTTCTCTTCCTGTGGGCACCCTTCTGGGGAAGAGTTGGCTGGACAGGGAGGGCAGCAGATTGCCAGGGACTCCGAACAGCTCCTTCCTAATCTTTGCCTAAGGCCTCCTGTAAGCCCTCCTAGAACCAGATCCAGGATGAACGGTTATTGGTTGCATAGGATTTCAGCAGGTGGGGATGGGATGGGACCCCAAGGGTGTCAGCAAGCATCCTTACCCTCTCGGAGAGGGGCAAGATGGGCTGTAGCTGCAGACTTGCAGGATCTGGGGGCCAGGTGTGTTTAAGATGGGACCTGTGTGTTCACTTTGGGCTGGAGGGACCCAGCCTGGACAGACATCTTGACGTTGTCCACTGCCATGGGTGGAACGAGGCATGTCTGATGTCCAGGGCAGCCGTGATGGGTCCCCTTCCTGGCCGCATGCCGGGCACCTGTTCCTAAGCCGTCGCCCACCAAAGCTTCATGCTTACAGCCGCTGAAGCCACTAACACGGGCAGCAGAAGGCGGGTGGGCCATGGTGGCACTGCCCCGGGGCTGATGCATGTCTGGCATGTTGGCCGACAGATCCCACAGTGGAGGTGGTGAGTGCCATGCAGGACCTGGTGGTGGAGGAGGGTGGCTCAGCTGAGCTCCTCTGCCAGTACTCGAGGCCCGTGCAGGCCGTGTGGAAGATGAACGAGCGGGAGGTGTGCGCAGATGGGGACCGTGTCACCATAGAGCAGGACTGGACCGTAGCCAGGCTGACCCTCAGGCCGGCCCTGCCCTGTGACAGCGGCATCTACTCTTGTGAGGCCGCAGGCACTCGAGTTGTGGCACTGCTCCAAGTGCAAGGTGAGGCCACCTGGCAGGCAGGCCTGGCATGACCATGGTAGAGAGGCAGGCCGTGGCCGCCAGCCTTGCAGCGCAGGTGACCTATGCAGTGAGAGCACCCATGTGGGTGGCGGCCCAGAGCTGTAGCTGGGTTAAGACACAGTCTCGTGTGCTTGTGGCTTTTTATGAGAAACAGCGGCTAAGATAACTGGAAAGAGGGGAGAGGGGAGGGGTACGGACTTGGGAGGTCTCCAGTCGATACAAATTGGAAGATAGCATCCCAGGCGTCAGGACAGGTCTAGCAGTGCTGGTTGGGGGACTTGGGAGAAGGGTGTGGGCCGCATCTTGAGGCTGCAGGCACCATTGTGGGAAAGGACACAGCTCTGCATCTCCAGTGGGCTGGAGTCTGGGCTTGAGAGGTTCTGGTCTGTGAATACCGATGAGGTTTCTCATCCGTGAGGCACAGGATGCCCCTCAGCCTCATAGAGACCAGTGCTAATGGGAAGCCTCTGGAGAGGTGATGGGATGGGTGGGGCTGGGCAACCACACCTCCTCCAGTGGACCCTGAGTGCCACCCTCCGCAGTGGCTTCTGGGGTCCTGTTCTGTTTAGCCCTTTATACTTTGGGGGGGGGGGGAGGCGTTCTTGCAAGAGACAGTAGTGGAGGATTGCCGGAGCTACACAACCCCGAACTCTGCTTTGTCCACAGCCAAGAACACAGTGGTGCGTAGCCTGGAGAACGTGGATGCCCTGGAGGGCGGCGAAGCTCTGTTCGAGTGCCAGCTGTCCCAGCCTGAGGTGGCTGCCCACACCTGGCTCTTGGATGATGAGCCTGTGCACACCTCGGAAAACGTGGAGATGGTCTACTTTGAGAATGGGCTGCGGCACTTGCTGCTGCTCAAAAACCTGAAGCCACAGGACAGCTGCCGAGTGACCTTCCTGGCTGGGGATGTGGTCACATCTGCATTCCTCACCGTGAGAGGTGCCAGGCTGAGGGAGGGCGGCGCGCTTGGGTGGATGGGATGGGGCTCTTCCAGAGGAGGCTGAGCTTCGAGCCGAGGTGGGAGAGAAGGGGGTTGTGTACGAAGGCGGTTTCCTCTGAGCTCTCTCTCTCCAAGTCCGTGCAGGACGGGAGGGTCTTGGACTGGAGTCCCTTCCACCTTCCAAACTGTGCTGCGACCTCAGTGGGACCCAGTAGGTTGGAAGGACTGGGGTCTGGGATGGTGGGGGCTGCCACTCTTCAGGGGTGGGGACGCCATTGAGAAGGGTGGCATCTCTAAGACCCCTTCCAACCAAGGCTCTCCTTGCCTGGGAGAGTTTTGGTGGGTGTCAGATCTCCAGACGCTTCCCATAGGTGGCTGGACCTCCATGGTCTACAGGGATTTAGGGCCACTGGGCTGGGGAGTGGGACAGGAAATGGGGAGGCCAAAAGGAAGGCACCCCTAAGACACCCTCCCATCGGACCTCCCTGAAATCTCTCAGGACTCATCCACTAGAGGTCCTGGTGGGCCGTCAGAACAGTGGGAGTGGGACTGGAGGTGAGGGTTGTTGGCCTTCTAGGACTCCCCAACATGAGGCCTTCCTGGGCCAGGAGAGTTAGGCGAGTCAGTCTGAGGAACCTCCACCTTGAGGACTTGAGGCTAGGTTGAGGGAGGCTTTGTAAGGGCCAGGGGCCTTGCACTTCCCTTCTGCCCCGACCCCCCCCCCCCCCCCCCCCCCCCCCCCCCCCCCCCCCACAGGCTGGCGCTTGGAGGTCCTAGAGCCCCCACGAGATGCGTCCGTGAGAGCTGGTATGCAGGCCTCCTTCACGTGCACACTAAGTGAGGCGGTGCCTGTGGGCGAGGCTACGTGGTACATCAACGGGGCTGCCATCCAGCCTGAGGACACCGACTGGACGGTCACCGCAGATGGCAGCCACCACGCCCTGACGCTGAGCAATGCCCAGCCCCAACACACAGGAGAGGTCACATTTGCAGCTCGTGATGCTGTGGCCTCTGCACGCCTCTCTGTGTTGGGTGAGTGGGTGGCAGAGGCCCCTCCCCTACGGTCTGGGTCTGGGTCACACACACCCCTGCACCCGCACCCCCCAGCCTCCACTTTGACTCAGATGGGTGACCATTCAGAGCTGGCTTCTGTGCAGTTCCGCTAGACCCTAAGAGCCTGAGCATGGTGACTGCAGTAGCTCCGGCTGCAGGTCCGAGACCACTCCCTGAGGCTAGAGTCCCTCGAGAGCGTACTCTGGCCTCTTCTCTTTGCCTAGTGCATATCCAAGCCCAGCTCTTGGGGGACGGGCCAAGAGAAATGAGGTCCTCCAGTCCCAATGCCTGACCTTAGTGGTGGGCGGCAAGATGAGCAAACACAGGCCCATGGAGGCTTCAGCAGCATCCTTTGCTCCCCACAACAGTCTGGACCACTGGCTTCAGGGTCTACCCTGAAGTGTATGCCATGTCCAGTATTGGACCTCAGTGACTTCTGGAAGGACTTCAGGACCCAGTGTATGTGTGTGCTAATCTGCTCTCTTCCATGCAGCCCTCCCTGACCCCCCTGAAGATGCTGAGGTGGTGGGTCGTAGTGGCCGTTCTGTGACCCTATCCTGGGTGGCTCCCATGAGTGATGGTGGCGGCGGTCTTTGTGGTTATCGCGTGGAGATGAAGGAGGCATCCACCGGCCAGTGGCAGTTGTGCCATGAGCTGGTACCCGGGCCAGAGTGTGTGGTGGACGGCCTGGTCCCTGGGGAGACCTATCGCTTCCGAGTGGCAGCTGTAGGTCCGGCAGGTGCTGGGGAGCCTGTACATCTGCCCCAGATGGTCAAGCTAGGTGAGTTACTGCTCTCAGTCCATGAGAGTGCCCAGCTGAACAAGGGAGGGAGGGAGCTCTTTAGGGTTGGGCAATGACCCTGGGATCCATCATGGCTGATGCGCCTTATCCTCTGGGGACATTGTTTTTCAGCAGAGCCAACGGAACCTGAACCAGTCCCATCTCCAGCCCCAGTCAAAGCCCCAACCCCAGCCCCAGCCAAAGGCCCAACCCCAACCCCAGCCAAAGCCCCAACCGCAGCCCCAACCCCAACTCCAACCCAGCCCCCAGCCCCGGAGACACGCCAGGCAGTAGTTGGTGAGGACGTGTGTCTGGAGTTGGAAGTGGCAGCTGAGGCTGGTGAGGTCATCTGGCACAAGGGAACAGAGCGCATCCAGCCCGGCGGACACTTTGAGGTCCTCTCTCAGGGTCAGCGGCAGATGCTGGTGATCAAGGGCTTTAGGACAGACGACCAAGGGGAGTACCGCTGTTGTCCCGCCCGGGGTCCGCCCTCCTCAGGGGCTGCCACGTTTAATGGTGAGTCTGGGCTCTGGAGTCGGATGCAGTGGGAGTGGGGAAGGGTTGATTGGGTTTTTCTTCTTGGTGTGCTCTGGCCACAAGGCTGAGAGCCCTTTCTTTCCGAGACTCCACGTGATGTGCAGAGAAACCAAGGCTTGGCCAGGTGAGGCAGGTCTCATGTGACTGAACTGTGCTGTAAGTCAGCCTCCTGTTCCCGAGTAGGATTGGTGGTGGATTTCTTAAGTCCTGGGACCCCTGCCCACAGGAGTTCTGAGACCTCTTCTGAAGCTACTTGTACTCTGAGCATGTCCTCCTCTCCATCCACTCTGCCTTCCAAGGCACCCCAACCCTCCCACACATACACTGAATACTGTCTGCACCGTGGCGCACCCCCTCTGAGCATCATCCTGAGAGGCTCCCTCTGCACTCTTAGCACCCCCAGACGCTTTGACCCTCTCCCGCTCTTAATCCTCCCCTGCTTCCCTGTGCCTGAGGTCCCATCCACACTGCGTCTCATGTCCCTTGTCCCATGCTCCCAGGCCTCCCCATTGTGCTGAGTCCATCCCCTAACTCAGTCCTCCTGCCCAGAGCCCCTCTGTGCTCTGAGAACCTCCTCCACCCACTGTACTCAGAGCCACGTGCTGCACTGGGGTCTCCTCCTCTTGCTTTCTGAGCCTGCCACAGTGTCAGCACGTCCTCTCTGTGCCGTGCCAATGTCCCTGTGAGCCTGGGCTCCTGGACCAGCAGCAGGGCTGAACAGGTGGAAATACACCTGATTTCACTTTGCTGAGCGATTTTCTGTTCTGGTTTGAGTTACCGTGTGCCCCGGCAGGAGGTAGACTGAGGGGGGCGGTGAAAATGAGGGTGGGAAGCTGAGGCTTGGAGCATCTCGGAACAGATAAAGGTTCCTGGTGCAAGACAGAGAGCAGAGGTCCAGAAGACCACAGCCAGGTCATATCCCAGCCAGCAGCAAAGGCAGGCATGGAGTTGCAGCTCTGTCTGACCTCACCCACTGACTGCTCTGTTGCCCTCCTTAGTGGTCATGTCCTCAGGCTCTGGGGATGAGGTCCCCTCGCAGCCCAGCCTGCCTCCTGAGGCAGCCCAGGAGGGTGACCTGCATCTGCTCTGGGAGGCCCTTGCCCGGAAGCGCCGCATGAGTCGGGAGCCCACTCTGGACTCCATCAGTGAACTGCCTGAGGAAGACAGCCGTGTGCAACATCTGCGGCAGGAGGCAGAAGAGACAGCCCCTGACCTCTCTGAGGGTTACTCCACAGCCGACGAGCTAGCACGCACAGGAGAGGCTGACCTGTCACACACCAGCTCTGACGACGAGTCCCGGGCTGGCACCCCTTCCCTAGTTACCTACCTCAAGAAGGCTGGGGGTCCTGGGATCTCACCCCTGGCCAGCAAGGTGAACCTCCTAGTTGGCCTGTAAGGAGAGGGCTGGTGGTGGTGGTGGTGGTGGTGGTGGTGGTGTGTGTGTGTGTGTGTGTGTGTGTGTGTGTGTGTGTGTGTGTGTGTGTGTCTCAGATCTTCAACATTCACTTCTATGCCTTAATCCCATAACTTATCCATCCATTCATCCATCTCAATACCACCTACCCATATGTGCATAATCGTACCATCCAACATCCACTGATTCATATACCATTCACTCTTCACCTATCCTTGCATCTATCCATCTGCTCATCTCTTCATTATCTACTCCCTATCATTCCATTTGTATATCACTCTCCCTACCCATCCAACCATCCTTCTGTACATCTCTCCATCCATCTGCCTGTTTGTCCATTATTTGTAATTCATGCACTCATCTGCCCACCATCCATCACTCCTGCACCTGTTGAATTGTTTGGCCATGTATCCACCAACATATCTCCACCTACCTGCCCATTAATCTACCATCCATACCTCCTGTACTGATTTTCCAGTTTATCCATTTAGTTTCCCATCTGTTTACCCAGTCACCCTTCATTGTCCACTCATCCAACATCCACTTGTTCCTCCTTACTCATCCATTCATTCATTATTCCCTCACTCACTATTCATTTGCTCATTATTCCTCTATTTGCTCACCTGTTCATTTATTTTTCTGCTGACTTATGTATCCACCATCTACCTAACTATTCCTCCATCCATCCATCTTTCCTGTAACTAGAGTTTTCCTGCCTTGCCCACAGTCAGGACAAATCTCTGTCACCCACCAGTCCCACAGCCGCTCAGACCCAACCAAGTAAACACAGAGACTTCTATTGCTTACAAACTGTATGGTCGTGGCAGGCTTCTTGCTAACTGTTCTTATAGCTTAAATTAATCCATTTCCATAAATCTATACCTTG